CCTGTGACCACTGATGAAGGACTACAGGATGACCAACACAAACTGTGCAGCAGCAGATGAGCTATCGTCTCTGACTTTACATCTACAAGGTGGACTGACAAGGTAGGAGTGTCTAATAGAGTGGAGAGTGAGTGACACTGAGGTGTTTAAAAACTCCAGCAGCACTGCTGTGTCTGATCCACTCAGACCAGCGCAACACACGCTAACACACCACCACCACGTCGGTGTTACTGCAGTGCTGAGAATGATCCACCACCCAAATAGTACCTGCTCTGTGAGGGTCCATGGGGGTCCTGACCACTGAAGAACAGGGTAAAAGGGGGCTAACAAAGTATCAGAGAAACAGATGGACTACAGTCTGTAACTGTAGAACTACAAAGTGCACCTATATAGTAAGTGGAGCTGATAAAATGGACAATTGGTGCATGTCGAGTAATATAACGTTGTCATCAGTGATAGTAGCATCAAACTGTTATATCATTATACATAATCTACCTTGACAACTCATGACAGGATGTAGCATCTGCCACGATATGTAAATGTCAGGGTCATGTCAGTGTCATGTAGCGGAGTCCAAGTGAAGTGATACCCAAGACAACTTGTTCTGAGAAACTAGGTTTATTAAAACTGCTGAAGATTCACAGCAGGTCAGGGAATGGAGTGGAGAAGTGCTCTGATAGAAAATGAGGAGATTATTGCTGCGTATGAAGGACACTGGCTGTGTTTATTCAGTGGTTAACTAAGGCAGAAAGCACTTTGTGAAGAGTTATCGGCCTTTCAGTGCAGTTTTGTGGAACACGATGAACAGAGAGCTTCGGTTTCTAACACAAACACGCACTCGTCTCCAAACACTCACTAATTAAAGCAGAGAAAGGTTAAAATAACACACGCCCACGCGCACTCTACACCAGGAAGACATAAACACACTTAAACACGCACACACACACGCACACGCACACACGCACACACACACACACACACACACACACACACACACACACTCATATTCTGACATATTATTATTGTTGTATTACCATCTTTGTGAGGACTCACATTCACTCACATGTAATACTGTAGATGAATAAAGCTAAGCCTAACCCTAAACCCTAAACTCTTCTTCCTCTAAACCCAACTCTTAACCCTTTTTTCACAGCAGCCTTCATATACTACATTTCCACTCATTTTGGAGGACATGCTTCAGTTAAACTAGTTTTTCCTTCAAAAATTTTTATATACACTGTAACACTGTTACTGGTCAGTAACAGTAACACTGCCTGTAACAGTAGCACTGTAACACTGTTACTAATCAGTAACAGTGACTGTAACAGTAACACAGTAACAATGTTACTAGTCAGTAAAAGTAACATTGACTGTAAAAGTACCACTGTAACCATGTTACTAGTCAGTAATAGTGACTGTAACAGTAACACTATAACCATGTTACTAGTCAGTAATAGTGACTGTAACAGTAGCACAGTAACATTGTTACTAGTCAGTAACAGTAACACTGGAACAGTAACACTAATGCTGTTACTAATCAGTAACAGTGACTATAACTAACACAGTAACAATGTTACTAGTCAGTAACGGTGACACTAACTGTAACATTAACACTGTAACAATGTTACTAATCAGTAACACTGACTGTAAAAGTACCACTGTAACAATGTTACTAATCAGTAGCAGTGACTGTAACAGTAACACTGTAACCATGTTACTAGTCAGTAATAGTGACTGTAAAAGTAACACTGTGACATTGTTACTAGTCAGTAACAGTAACACTGACTGTAACAGTAACACTGTAACAATGTTACTAATCAGTAGCAGTGACTGTAACAACACTGTAACCATGTTACTAGTCAGTAATAGTGACTGTAACAGTAACATAGTAACAATGTTACCAGTCAGTAAAAGTAACACTGACTGTAACAGTAACATAGTAACAATGTTACCAGTCAGTAAAAGTAACACTGACTGTAACAGTACCACTGTAACAATGTTACTAATCAGTAGCAGTGACTGTAACAGTAACACTGTAACCATGTTACTAGTCAGTAATAGTGACTGTAACAGTAACACTGTAACAATGTTACTAATTAGTAGCAGTGACTGTAACAGTAACACTGTAACAATGTTACTAATCAGTAGCAGTGACTGTAACAATAACACTGTAACCATGTTACTAGTCAGTAATAGTGACTGTAACAGTAAGATAGTAACAATGTTACCAGTCAGTAAAAGTAACACTGACTGTAACAGTAACACTGTGACAATGTCACTAGTCAGTAACAGTAACATTGTAATGGTAACACTGCAGCACTGTTATTAGTCAGTAATATTGACCATACCACTAACACTGTAACACTGTTTCTAGTCAGTAACAGTATCATTGACTGTGTCAGTAACAGTGACTGTTACAGAGATTTTCTGCTTTGTGATAAGGCTGCTATAAAAGCATTATATAAATAAATCTTGACTCCACTTGAAATAACCACATCATGGAAGATGTCATATGTTGTCAGGAGATGTCATGAGAGATTTAGTCCAGTAATATAACACTGTTTTGTTACCATTACTGGTAATTGTCATGACAGACGCCATAATGTCATGACAGCTTCTGTCATACGCTAATGTTTATAGCCATAATGACATCAAACATTATAGTAACTATCATGACAATTAACAAAAATGGTAACATGACACTGGATCCTAGTGTCTATGGCATCATTAATCAATGTAGCAATAAAGTGCCACCATAGACATCAATAAAAGTGTTTTTATTGTGTTAAAATGCTGTGTTTACTGTGTCAGTTGTACAGATTTGTTTGATAGGAAGAAAGCTGCAGTTGTCTGTATTATCTTTTTGTAGAGAGGTGTGAATTATTTTTCACACCAGGGGGTTCTGACCCCTCCCCTTTCACCGCTCATTCCTAACTAGTAACTCAACACAGAGTTACAACACATTTCACACACAGAGAAACGACAGTTTCTTAGTTCGTCTGATTACAGAGTTACAGGGAAGAATATTTTATCTAGTCTTTTTAATGAAAACCTTCTGAGCCTGAAGAAAGAGGTTAAATACATAAATAAACAAGTAAATAAACTTCAGTCGAGCTAAAGAAAAAAAATTCTCATGAAGAGCAGCCAACAAGTCCCCACAAGTACTAAACGTTTATATATTCCTGGGTTCCCACAAATACTCGTGGTAGTATTTCTATCTTTTTGAGGACTTAAACTTCCTGAAGTTCTACTGTTGATGAATAATGCTAAGCTTTAGTTTAGCTTTGTCAAACTAATAAAACCTAAACTGTGCTAATTGAAGATCAAGCTGTAAAACAGGATTTGCTAATTCTCAGTATGATTCAAATTAATCCTGGATTTTCTGAATCACCATGGCAACATATGCTGCATTCCTAACGTACTCAAGGGCTGGTCAATTTTGAGATTTCAGATCATAAGCATCTGAAGGCTGAGATCCTGACCAATCAGGGATTGCCTTCCGACGAAGCTATATTTCGGGTCACTTTTTTTTGTAATTTGTGGCATCAATCATGCTACAAAAATGATTTTTAAAGGGCTGATATCCTACAATTTTCTTTTTATTGGCTGGCTCTGATCTTCAGGCCCTCAGTCAGCACTGCATTAAAAACAGACACAATTCTGTACTGGAAATCATTGCCTGGACTCAGAAACACTTCCATAAACCACTGTCTGTGAATACAGATCATCGCTATATCCACAAATGCAAGTTAAAACCACCATGCAAAGAAGAAACAACATAAAAACAGGATCCAGAAATGCTGCCACCTTCTCTGGGCCCAAGCTCATTTAAAATGGACTGAGGGGAAGTGGAAAAGTGTCCTGTGGTTTGACTAATCAAAGTTCGAAATTCCTTTTGGAAATCATGGATGCCAAAACTTCCAGGCTAAAGGCCATTCAGCCTGTTATCAGTGCACAGTTCAAAAGCCAGTATTTATGATGGTATAGGGGTGCATTAGTGCACATGCCATGAGTGGCTTGCACATCTGTGAAGGCACCATCAATGCTGAGCAATATATACATGTTTTGGTAACATATGCTGCCATCCAGACGACGTCTTTCTCAGGGAAGGTCTTGATTATTTCAGCAGGACAACACCAAACAACATTATGCACATATCACAACAGCACGGCTCCATATTAAAAGAGTCCGAGTGCTAAACTGACCTGCCTGCAGTCCAGACCTGTCACCACTGAAAACATTTGCCGCATTATGAAATGAAAAATATACCAAATGAGCTCCTGAACTGTTGATCAGCTGAAATTCTATATCAAGCAAGAATGGGAAAACATTTCACTTTCTAAACTACAGCAGTGTCTCCTCAGTTCCCAAACACTTACAGAGTGTTGTTAAAAGAAGAGGTGATGAAACACAGTGGTAAACAGGCCCCCGTCCCAACTTTTTTGGAACGTGTTGTTGGCATCAAATTCAAAATGGGCATTTCTTTTTCAAAAACAGTCAAATTTCTCAGTTTCAACATTTGATATGTTGTCTTTGTACTATTTTTAATTAAGTGTACGGTTTAAATGATTTGCACATCACTGCATTCTGCTTTTATTTATATTTTGCACAGCATCCCAACTTTTTTGGGAACAGAGTTGTACATAAACATGAAGAACATAAAGCAGTCATGACTCCAATGAGCGCTAACGCTGTTGTCGGTGGTGACAGCTTTATATTTTATTGTTATAATACTTTCCTTCCCACATATTTACACAGTATAGTTAATTTTCCCTTCTTTGAAAAATAAGCCACTCGACTCCTCCTCATGTTTAACGCGATTGGCTGTTCATCATAAACGCTGTGCTTTCATGTGCACACTCGCAGGATTAATCACAGCCTGAGCGTCACTAAGCCTGAGTTAACAGAGAACGCTCAGCCTCACAGCAGCACTGTTAAAGAGGAAACCTGCTCATAAAATCAGACATAAATCCTGTTATAAATGGTGTTCGTGTACTTACGACAGCTGCAGGAAGTCAGTGATGTGCAGCTTCACTCTCTCGGCCAAAATCTCCATCAGATTCAAACCCTGATCTGTGGAGAGAGAGCTACATACAGAGAGAGAGAGAGAGAGAGAGAGAGAGAGAGATTAGAATTAAAAATATATTGAATTAAACAGCACATCGCTCAGTAGGTATCAGGGAAGCTCAGAATCGGCAGAGTTTTGCTTAAAACTTGAAAATCGTCCAGTTTCTTGTTTTTTTTTCTGCTTTAGAAGGTGAATAATGAGTCAGCTTATGTGCACTAATAGAAAGTTCTGGAAGTGTTCTGCAGTGTTTCCTTCAGCCGACACAGTGTGCTAATAAAATCAGCCACACACCAATCTGGCTGTTAAGAAATCAGAATCAGCTGTGAAAGTTCGGAATCAGTGCATCGCTAATACACACAGCACCACTGAACCTGTTCAGTATGGATCAGTACAGTCATCAATCTGTAAGGATTCAGGAAATCAGGAAATCACGTTGGGAGCCAAAACATTTTATGTCCATTTTACCATCTTGGCTGTAAATATGTCTCAGTATGTGCTGATGTTCTAGTATAGACTAAGAAATATAAATGAAAACACAGACTTACTTTGCTCTGCTTTAAGCTGTAGCTCAGATATAGTGTTTTTCTCACATCTCTGGCAGGAAACTTTTCAGCAAAAGTATAATAGTTTCTTGTAAAATGTCTCTCAATGTTCGTCTTTTTACGAGGCTGAAGTCGCTTCTCATTCGCCAGCTTCTTGTTTGAGTTTCCATCTTAAATGGTGCCTGAGCCACCAGAATGTAACTGTTGCACCATTTAAGGTGGAACGGGAAAATTCGAACAAGAAGGTGGCGAATGAGAAACGGACTTCAGCCTTGCGACTTTTTAGTGTTTGTCAGTTTCTCTCTGCAGATTAAATGTATCAGGAAACCAGCTGATTCACCAGCTAGAGTGTTTCTCTTTGCTATTTCGTTAGCTGCTAGCTAGGCAAAATTGTGTTGCTATGGTGACCAGCATTCTGCACACCAACCTTCAGGGTCAAAGGGTGAATTAGCAGTTCTACATTAACTCCAGGGTTTAAGACCATTTACTGTTGAACTGTGTTGAACGATCAGCAGAGCTTTATTTTACTGTAAAGGAGGATTATTTTATTTTTACCTACAAATCTGATTCTGCTGTGGAGCCACAACAGGACAGTAAAAGAGCCGCATGAGGCTCCGGAGCTGCATGTTGCCGCCCCCTGGACTACATGAATATAACTGAACTATTGCACAACTGTAAAATACAGAAAATTAAAAAACACTACATTTGTTATATGTTTAAGTTTGAAAACAGCACCAGAGTTAAAAAAAAAAGGCATTAGAATGATTCAGTGCACCATGAAGTCTCAATTTTCACCATGATTTGATCTGATTTGATTGCTATTTCAGGAGGATTCAGAAATATTTTTTAAAAAATGACCTTTTTATGCAATAGTGGAACAGCTAGTGTTGTTAGAACTGGACTTCAAAAGGGTGCTCATTGCAATACGTCCTTTGGTCAAGTCGTTTATAGATGGCTTTAGTTGGTGTAGCGTAGTGGGTAATAACAGGGCCGAAACAGGGACCAGAATATTAGCTGGAAGGTGACCTACATCTCATAGAGAACTGACTTTTTTTTTATTTATTTTATTTTTTTTCATAAAATCATTGATCATTTTTTACCCATTCATACACTATGTGGACAAAAGTATTGAGACACCTACACATTATACCTACAGGAGCTTTTATGAATCCCATTCTAAATCCATAGACATTAATATGGAGTTGGTCCCTCTTTACAGCTGTAACAGCTTCCACTCTTCTGGGAAGCTTCCTACAAGATGTTGGAGAGAGTCTGTGGGAATTTTTGGCGACTCATCCAGAAGAGCATTTGTGAGGTCAGACACTGATGTTGGACGAGAGGGCCTGGCTCACAATCTCTGTTCAGTGGGGTTGAGGTCAGGACTCTATGAGGGCCAATAAAGTTCTTCCACACCAAACTCACCCAGTCAGGCCTTTATGGAGCTGCTTTGTGCACTGGGGCTCAATCATGCTGGAACAGAAAAGGTTCTTCCCCAAACTGTTCCACGAAGCTGGAAGCATAGAATTGTCCAAAATGTCTTGGTGCTGAGGCATCAAGGTTTCCCTTCACTGGAACTAAGGGTTCTAGACCAACCCCTGAAAAACAGCCCCATATCATCATCCCTCCTCCACCAAACTCTACAGTTGGCAAAGTGCAGTCAGGCAGGTAACGTTCTCCTGGCATTCACCAAACCCAGACTCGTCCATCAGACTGACAGATAGAGAAGCTGATTCGTCACTCCACAGACTACGTGTCCACTGCTCCAGAGTCCACATGTCGTGAAGCTCCTAACGTGCAGTTCTTTTGCTGATGTTGCTTCCAGAGGTGATTTGGAAGTCTTTAGTGGGTGATTCATCAGAGGATAGACACTGTGAGCTTCAGCACTCAGCGGCCCACCCTGTAAGTTTGCATGGTCTACCGCTTCGTGGCTGAGCTGTTGTTGCTCCTAGATGCTTCCATTTCACAATAATAGCACTTACAGTTGACTGGGGCAGATCTAGCAGGACAGAAATCTCACAAACTGACTTGTGGCAGAGGTGGCGTCCTACGACAGAGCCATGTTTAAAGTCACTGAGCTCATCAGTACGACTCATCTACTGCCAGTGTTTGTCTATCGAGACTGCAAGGCTATGTGCTTGATTTTATCCCCCTGTTAGCAATGAGTGTGGCTGAAACACCTGAAATTAATAATTAGGAGGTGTGTCCCAATACTTTTGTCTATATAGTAGTTGTTATGGACCTTTTTCTTTCATCTCTTTCTTTCCCATCCCATTAGAAAGTCAACAAAGCATCTCATTTGAGCAGACTTCTGGATATGTAACCTTTCTTCCTTTCTTTGGTTACCTGTATTTAACCAGATTAATGATATTGAGATTAAATGCTGGTCTTTACCACCAGCAAAGCCAAATTAGAGTCACAATCAAATCAAAAACGAGAACGGAATGATACAGTTCTTTAACAATTATCTTAAAATCAGTCTAGGAGATAAAATGCTCCGATTTCAGATGTTTCGGCAGATCATTCCACACAGATGGAGCTCTGGGACTAAACGCTGCATCGCCATATTCAGAGAACCTGAGACCTGTATTTGGATCAAAGTGCATACTTCACTGAATCATATTATAACTGATAATAAAACTGACGCAGCTGAATCTCCACCATTAGCCTGCTGTATTTTCACGCCTTTCTAGTCAGTCCTGTGGCTCCCGTTAAGAGAACAGGCCTGTCGGCGGTGCGGTGGAGGAGCAGGTGGCTCTGCAGTTCAGATAAATCACCTGCATTTTCCTACAACACACCAAACAATAATGTGTAAATGGGATTCCTGCAGAGTGAGATAGCTTTATGATAAGAGCTGCACACACACGGACGAATCGGTGCGCTCGCTTTCTCACACACACACACACACACACACACACACACACACACACACACAAACACACGCGCACAATTACACCCAAATGAGCACACGTGTACAAACACACATGCAGGCGTCTCACGCAATAAAATGTGAGAATTAAAATCTCCTGGAGCTTTTACTCTATTTTTCTTGAAGATCCACTATTGGGCATCCAAACCCCCTCCCCCTGCAACCCTCTCTCCCCCCCCAACCTTCAAAGAGCCCAAAACCCACATTAGTTTTCTATGTCTTTTCTCTTCCGAGGTTCACTTTTAACATTTGTGTCATTTTACACACCAATTAATTCATTTTTACGTGACTATTTTCCAACCTCTCTTTATCCCTTTATCACTTAAACAGGCTGTTTTTGTTACTGTGCCTTTAAGAATGATACATGTAAATTAGCTCTGTCCTCATTGGCTGTCCCGCATTGCAAAATAGCCCAGACTGAAACACTTCTTATGACTTCAGCGTGAGTGAGTGGAGCTAAACGGCTGTAAGCTAAATAGGCAGATAAATGCAATTAAAAAAAAAAAACAAAACAAAAAAACAGTTCTATGCATGGTGAAATCATTCTTCAGATTGAAGGAGAGTGTGTTGTAGATGGTTCTATATAGAACCTTTTCGAAAAGGGTTCTATATAGCACCAAAAAGGGTTATTACTTGACATCATAACAATAGCAAAACCCTTCTGTGCGATATATAGAACCATCTACAACACACTCTCCTTCAATCTGAAGAACCATTTCTTTGAGTGTTCATGGTTCTACACAGAACCTCTGTCTTTACCAAAGAACCCTTGAAGAAGCATCTTTTTTTTCAGAGTGTACTGAGACAACCTAACTTTATCCTATTGTATTATTATTATTATTATTATTATATAAATTTACACCAATTTACACCAAAATGACTAACAGGTTCTAGCTATTAAGCTGATAAAGAACATATTCTTCATTATTCATTCATTCATTCATTATCATAAATGTTTGAAGTGACGAAGTGGGAAGTACAAACATACACTAAATGTAATGTCACCTCTGGCAAGTTAACCCTCCATTGCATGATGTTGCTTCAGGGCAACAAACTCATTTTCCTCACTTTTCAATAAAATTTTACATATTTAAAGACAATAATAGGATTAACAATAAAGGGAAGAGCTTGAGTAAGTCAATAAAATCATGTACTTGGTCATACTATCTCTTAGTGCGCACATTTAAACCTCTTTTTCAACATTTAGTATCAATTTTTTTGAGAATTTGCAGAAATGTGTTTGTTGCCTAGAAGCAACATTGTGCGACAGTGGAATGGATTTAGCCAGTTACAAGCCAGGTGTCACCACTTCAGGGAACACGGATCTATATAATTTCTTCTCATTGTCGCACAATGTTGCCCCAAGGCAACATACTCCAAAAAGGACCTCTGCACACATTATGTCTTTTAAATGTTTTTGAATTTAATAATCAGGTCTAAAAAAAACAAATCAAGGATCATTTTATGCAAGAAAAGTGTTTTATATATATATATATATATATATATATATATATATATATATATATATATGTGTGTGTGTGTGTGTGTGTGTGTGTGTGTGTGCAGTACAGTGTTAAATGGCATAAACTGGGTAAGTTGTTTGGCATTAAAATAAGGACACAAATACAATGCATAATCATTTTACATTATATAACTATCTGCTACTTTTTACTCAAAGTAATTACTTAGTACTGTGGAGTTTGACCCACCTTACCTCTAGTTTTTATATGATGGTGAAAAACTGAAAAAAATATGGTTTTTTTTTGACTTCGTCTCAAAACGTCCTGCATTTACTTCTCCATGAACATAAAAAATCATCTCAAAACTGTTGCAAAACAGTGTCTCAGATATCAGACGGCAAATTCATAACCAGTTCATGTAGTAACTTTCTGTGAGGGAGCTTTTAGAGTCAGTCACCTCTTCAGACGTCTGGTTCCTATCACTACTCCCAATTCTGTCTCAGTAAGTTTAAAATTTCACATCTGACTTTGTTTACATCTTGATTGAATTATGCAGAAATTTGGAGAAATGAGAGGAATTGCCCTTCATTAGCATCCCTGACCACCCCAGCTGTGGCCTGTGCAGGATCAGATCAGGTCAGCGCTGTCCCAGTTTGAAAACTCAGTCCATTAAGAGGTTGATAATGAAGTGCTGAGGTGTGAAAGGCAGGTGTGGCTGAGCAGGGGAGGCACTCCGGTGTGAAGTGTTGTGGGTGTTGGGTTTAGTCCCAGTGGAGCGGCTCTCAAACTGGGGAGCAGAATTACTATTAATTGTTAATTTTTTAGTGGCTACAGAATAATTAGAGATTTTTACACAGTGAGAATCAGGGCTGCTCAATGTATCGTTTGATAATCATCACTGTGATTGGCATTTAACAATACTGACATCACAGAAAGCTGAACTGTCCAAATTTTATATAAAGTTTATACTTTTCTTAGTCTTGATAGTATTTGTACTCAGATTTCACTTAGTCCTAATAGTATTTGCACTCAGACTGGTCTTAGTCTTGATAGTATTTGTATTCAGACTTGTCTTAGTCTTAATAGTATTTGTACTCAGACTTGTCTTAGTCTTAATAGTATTTGTACTCAGACTTGTCTTAGTCTTGATAGTATTTGTATTCAGACTTGTCTTAGTCTTAATAGTATTTGTACTCAGACTTGTCTTAGTCTTGATAGTATTTATACTCAGACTTGTCTTAGTTTTGATAGTATTTGTACTCAGACTGGTCTTGGTCTTGATGGTATTTGTACTCAGACTTATCAGGGTTTTGATAGTATTTGTACTCAGATTTCACTTAGTCCTAATAGTATTTGCACTCAGACTGGTCTTAGTCTTGATAGTATTTGTATTCAGACTTGTCTTAGTCTTGATAGTATTTGTACTCAGACTTGTCTTAGTCTTGATAGTATTTGTACTCAGACTTGTCTTAGTTTTGATAGTATTTGTACTCAGACTTGTCTTAGTCTTGATAGTATTTATACTCAGACTTGTCTTAGTTTTGATAGTATTTGTACTCAGACTTGTCTTAGTTTTGATAGTATTTGTACTCAGACTTGTCTTAGTTTTGATAGTATTTGTAGTCAGACTTGTCTTGATGTTGGTCTTTGGTCTTATTTAAGTCAATTTAGTCTTTGATGTTGTTTACAAAGTTATTTCCCAATGTTTTCTTCTTTTAACAGAAACTAAAATGCACTGACTCATATTTAAGTAACTCCAAACCAAATAGTTTATGTTTAATTTAGTCATTTGGCACTGGCTGGGTTCAGAGTGAGCACTGAACGCCAAGAAAACTCAGGGCACTGCTGCACCATCATCTTCTGAAAAACTGAGAAAACGTCCCCACATCAGACTAAATTTAGAAAAGGACTGTTGGAGCCAGATTCTAAACTTTTTATCCACATCATCTACACCACATTTGTGTGTAGAAGAAGAGATATTTGTATTTTTGCCATGTTTTGTTTGAAAAATGGTATTTTCAGTGCACAGTTTCTGTTTATTTGCTTTATTTTTTTTTAGTTTAACATATTGGAAAAAATAACACATAATATATAAAATTGTCACGCTTCCCTCCAGCCTGACTGGAACTATGGCCGCCTCAGACTGCGTTTCCCAGAACCCATTGCTCCCTCACATGATTCAGGACTCCAGACCTCTAATCAAGTTCACCTGTTCTCATGTGTATTTAACCTGTCAGTGTGCATCGTTTCTTTGGGAAACATCGTCACTATTTGTTGTGCGTACTGAGCCTTTCTCTATGTCTGTACGCCTGTTCACGTGTATGACCTGTTCAGGTTACAAGCCTCGTTGCTCAAATCCGATTTTTCGCTCAAATCCGATCTCTCTGACACGATGGTTCACACTGGTTTAGGTAAGAGACTCAAATCTGTCATTAATGTGATGAACCGGCGTCCTGAAATGACCCTCATGAGCTCATCCTACTCAGTAACGTCACGTGAATGAATCACGTTCATCATCAGCACAAACTAACGAGCAGAACGAGCTTCGCTGAAAAGATCATTAACTCTGATCAGCTCTCAGCTTCATTATTAGAGTGAGACGAAGGAGAAAAAGGTGAGATGAGCTGCTTTTCCACCGTTTACAGGCTTTAACTTCTGTTCGGTGCTGCTGCCATGGTAACGCTGAATGATGGTGCAGGCACAGTGGAAACAAAGCACATGAATTCAGATCTGAGCGTCTCATTAAGGTCGCATGGCCACAAATCGGATACGTATCCGATCTAGGACCACATATGGTAATGGTAATGTAATGTAAACGTAGCCTTAGAAAATCAGCTAAACGTCATTTGGCCAGGGGCACCCAAACTTTTGCACACGGCTGTATATTCAGTGGAAATTTATGAAAATGCCTGAGAAATGCTCACAGCAGACGACTGCATATACATACAGTTCAACTTCAGATGAATAAACAGGTTAGCGACTCTTAAAGTAAATGATAAGAAGCTCTTTGCCGGTCAGATGAGAACCAAACAGAAGAACCGATTTAGAGAACTCACTCTTCAGTGATGATGTATCCAAAGTAGCCGTCATGCTGGGGGCTGGAGTACGCCGCCACGTCCACCCTAAACTTCTCCTCCACGTGTGCACCTTTCTTCTTCTCCACCTCCTCTTCCCCCGCCATGTTCTTCTTCTGCGGTTCTTCTCTGGAGGAGCCTTTAGCACCATAGAGCCACTGGTCCACCTCAGCATCGCCCAGATGATCCAGATCCAGAGTGTCCGGCTCCATCTTCTTCTTCATCAGGTCCAGCTTGGTCTGGGTGGTCCGGCTCTGGATGTTCTCCAGTCCGGCAGGTTTCGAACCCCCCAGGTCTCCAGGGAAGTTTGTAAAGCCCAGAAAAGGCACTTCAGCTTGGGTACGGTCAGCAGCCTTAGGGCCTGAGCTCCGGTCCAGATACTCCAGCAGCTCTCGGATAAAATCTTTATCCTACACAGAGCAGATAAAGGAGGTAAGGGTTAAAACGTGAGTTCAGGTTCATGTTGTCCTCCTGTCAGGATGAAAAATAGCAGCAGCTGCGATAAACCGGCCTGGACCAGCTCCAGTGTTAGCCCTGTAACTGGAAGAGCCACATGTGGGTCCACACTTCAGTTCCTCACTTTCATGGCTGCGTAACCTACATGTTAGTTTTATAGTAGCTACAGAATAATTCACAGTAGTTACTGAATAATTCATAGTAGTTCATAGTTTAGAACCTTTTACATGCCTTGTTTTCTTTTATTAGAAACCTTCTGAAAATGGTTCTATATAGCATCAAAAGGGTTCTTCTGTTGTTGCTAAGAACTCTTTTTCGTGCTATATAGAACCATATGCAGCACAATCTCAATCACCCTGAAGAACCTGTTCACCATGCAAAGAACTATTTATGCATGAAATGGTTCTTTATAGTACTTGTGGTTCTATTAACCATTGTCTTTACCAAAGAACCTTTATAGAACCATCTTTTTTAAGAATGTAGCAGTGACACTGTTGAGCAAGGTAGAGGGGGCTGATAACCTGTGCCACAGTCAGTAACTGTGCACCTACTTAGTGGAGCTATAAGGTAGGTGTTTCTAAAAAAAGTGGCCAGTTAGTCGAAGTACAATGTTGGTGTTTCTAATAAAGTGGCCAGTTAGTGGAAGTATAAGGTGGGTGTTTCTAATAAAGTGGACAGATAGTGGAAGCACAAGGTAGTTGTTTCTAATAACGTGGCCAGTTAGTGGAAGTACAAGGTAGGTGTTTCTAATAAAGTGGCCAGTTAGTGGAAGTACAAGGTAGTTGTTTCTAATAAAGTGGCCAGTTAGTGGAAGTATAAGGTGGGTGTTTCTAATAAAGTGGCCAGATAATGGAAGCACAAGGTGGGTGTTTCTAATAAAGTGGCCAGTTAGTGGAAGTACAAGGTAGGTGTTTCTAAAATAGTGGCCAGTGAGTGTAAGTACAAGGTAGGTGTTTCTAATAAAGTGGCCAGTTTGTGGAAGTACAAAGTGGGTGTTTCCAATAAAGTGGCCAGTGAGTGCAGACATGCTGGCAAGAAGACAAGAAGATATTAAGCCCAGAAAAAGCTGCTGATGATTAACAGTCATCTACAAGTAAAGCGTCTACCCGCTACTCCACAGCAAGACGGCTACTGTTCAAAGGACCTTTTAAACAGGCCCGCTGGTTGAAGCAGCACAATTTTTTTCCAAGATAAATTAGCATTCACTACTGAGCAATCATCATCCATCACAGGGTCTAATTTGAAAATAGTTTCATTTCAGTAGATACTCGAACGTCTCTAATGCATATCGCCCTCTCACCCTCTCCACTCTCCCACAAATTGATTTCTTTGTGAAAGAAATGCCACAGTACCACATAATCACGCTGCTCCAGTCTAGACAGTAGGTCCGTTCTCTTTTCATGTCTTTTGAGAGTAGAACTTATTTTTTTACCTTTTCTTCTGACTTTGGGCCACCTCCTTCAGACTGTCCATCTGTAAATAACAAGTATACGAAACATCATAAATCATGAAGACTGTTTAGAACGGGGCGTCCAAGCTTATCTGCAAAGGGCTGCAGGTTCAGTCTAATCAAGCAGGAGAGCACCTGACTCCTCTAGTTTATTCAATTAATTTCAGTCTACAAAGATCAGGTGTGCTCCTCACCGGCCCTTTGGAGGGATTGACTGGACACCCCTGGTCTAGAAACGTCAAAACTTAAGTACAACACACTGTCTCACTCAAATAAGTACAAACAACTGAAAATGCACTACTGTGCTAATTTAAAAACCAGCCTTTTGTTTAATTCACTACTACTCAAAAGGGTCCGTTTACAGAGCAGGTACTATTTGGGTGGTGGATCATTCTCAGCACTGCAGAAAGACTGACGTGGTGGTGGTGTGTTAGTGTGTGTTGTGCTGGTCTGAGTGGATCAGACACAGCAGTGCTGCTGGAGTTTTAAACACTGTGTCCACTCACTGTCCACTCTATTAGACACTCCTACCTTGTCAGTCCACCTTGTAGATGTAAAGTCAGAGACGATAGCTCATCTGCTGCTGCACAGTTTGTGTTGGTCATCCTCTAGTCCTTCATCAGTGGTCACAGGACGCTGCCCACAGGACGCTGTTGGCTGGATATTTTTGGTTGGTGGACTATTCTCAGTCCAGCAGTGACACTGAGGTGTTTAAAAACTCCAGCAGCACTGCTGTGTCTGATCCACTCAGACCAGCGCAACACACACTAACACACCACCACCACGTCAGTGTTACTGCAGTGCTGAGAATGATCCACCACCCAAATAGTACCTGCTCTGTGAGGGTCCATGGGGGTCCTGACCACTGAAGAACAGGGTAAAAGGGGGCTAACAAAGCATGCAGAGAAACAGATGGACTACAGTCTGTAACTGTAGAACTACAAAGTGCACCTATATAGTAAGTGGAGCTGATAAAATGGACAATGAGTGTAGAAACATGGTCATAATGTTATGCCTGATCGGTGTATATTTGATCATGGGTGCCTAATACGTTGATCGTGATCAACCAGTCGACTGCACAGTCCATGTTGGTAGATTGAGCTTCACTCCAACAGGCTTTTACATTTCAACATGTTTACTGTTTCTGGCGGCCGGCCTGTGAATTTGCCTCTCTAGTAATCTAGAAAGTTTTCATTTGTCAGTTGCCAGTTCATGTAGCACCATTTTGGCCTGTTCCTTTTGTAACCTGCACTGACTCTTTCAGAAGATGGGTGTGAGACCACTCGCCATGCAGAGCGGGAGGAGGTCTATTTTTTACAGTGTCAAACTCCAAATGCATCTGCTTGATTTGCCAAGTAGCCACTGCACTACCAAAGAAGGGGAACGTCGGGAGGCATTTACGAACTATGCACAGGTGTTTTCCCTGCAACTGTTAATGCTGAATATCAGTATAGGCCCCTTAAGTGCATTAAAAAGTTTCAAAGCTTTTAAAAAAGGATGATGCCAGCCTTTTTTTTTTTTTTAAGGTAAGTTATGATGACCTGTCCACTGGAAAAAGTAGATCTTAAACCACAAAAGTATGGGCACCCCTGTTTTAGACATACATATCCTGTAAAAATATAACTGTTGGAGTTATTAACAAAATTGGGCCAATAGTCATTTTGGCCAGCAACATTTTATATGATTTCTTTCTGCTTCCTTTACACTTTGGCCATATTTTTTGTCAGTTCTGACACTAAAATAAACGAAAAAGTCTTAAACCTGTTAAAAAGGAATAAAAATGAAACACAGATGTATTTCTTCTTGTAATATGTGAGTAATAACGTAATAACATTTAATATTATACCAGGATGACAGTAATGACTCCAGACTTCTAAAGGTTTACATAAACAGTAATTTAATTAAAACAGCTCTTTGGTTTAAAGTTAATGTGCAGGTGTGTCTGTTCAGCTGATAAACTTTCATCATGATCTACCTTTAGGAGTGATGCTCTCTCCAGCCGTTCGCTCTCGCTGTCCTTTATCATCAGCTTCCTTCTTCATCTCTTGCTCTTCATCATCCATGACTTCTCGACCTTTAACCCCCCCGACTCCGTCCACCACCTGCAGGGCCTGAGCGATAACCTCTGAGAGCTGGTCCAGGTCACCTGGGGTCAACGTGTCCACGTTCACACTCTGCTGCCCGAGCTGATTCACCACACCCTGGATGAACTTCTCTGGAATGAAGGGACAATAAAGGATATAGAAAGTAAATGAAAAGAGGAACCGAGAGTCTACAGACGTTACTATAACCTTTAAAATAATCATATTCACAGAATATGACAGGTGTATACATATATATATATATATATATATATATATATATATATATATATATATTATATATATATATATGTATGTTTAATGTAAGTCAATGGAACCAAAAGAAAAATTATGTCAAAAAATGAAAAACAACAAAAATGGAGATGCAAGGTTTTGTCCTGACAGCAGTGATATATATATATATATATATAGTTTAGTGATCGTTCTACTATATTTAGGCTTTTCATTAATTTTCAGGATTTCTTTTCATGCATGCTCCATCCCTCCCGCTCCCGCCTGCAGTGGGCTGGTTTCCCACCCTCTCCCACACACAACGTCTAAATTTATCCTGCACCACAGGATACTGTGGTGGGTCCCATGGGAGTGCAGACCTCAACCTGCTATTAGCATCCGTCTTGTGTGATCTGATCACAAGTGGACAGCAAGATATGTAATTTACACCTGGCACTTTCATGTGTTTCAAATGAGTCAGATTTTGTGATTGATGGAAGGGTACTGTGTACATTTACTATGTCTGTCGCTGCATTTCTTCTCAGACAAAATTGCACCGCTAGTACTTGTTTGTGCAAATATATGGGCACATTTAGACCGCTTAGACCTATTAGACTGACCCCAAAAGCTATAAACAAACAGGAGAAGAGACAAACGAAGAGGCTCAGCTGATTAAGGTGGCCCTTCATTATTTTCAGAGACACACTCTACAGTTATTTGGCAACCCTGACCGCCTTTGATGGTTGTTTGAGTGATCAGATCACAGTGCATCTCTGAGACTCATTGACTCATTTCTTGTATGATATAGGATTTCAGCTGCTCATCAGTCCAGGGGCTCATTTGTCGTATTTTTCATTTCATAATGTGCCAAATGTTTTCAGTGCTGACGGGTCTGGACTGCAGGAAGGTCAGATTAGCACCAGGATTCTTTTAATATGGAGCAATGCTGTTATAATACATGCAGAATGTGGTTTGGCATTGTCTTACTGAAATAAGCAACGCCTTCCCTTATGCATATGTCGCGAAAACATGTATAATCATTCAGCATTAATGGTGCCTTCACAGATGTGCACATCACCCATGCCATGTGCACTAATGCCCCCCTATACCATCATGAATACTGGCTTTTGAACTGTGCACTGTTAACAAGCTGAGTGGTCTTTAGCCTGGAGGACACAGTGTCCATGATTTCCAAAAAGAATTTCAAATGTTGATTTGTAGGACCACAGGACACTTTTCCACGTCCCCTCAGTCCATTTTAAATGGGCTCTGGCTCAGAGAAGGTGGCAGCATTTCTGGATCCTGTTTATAGATGGTTTCTTTGCATTTTAGAGCTTTTTAGAGCATTCTAACTTGCATTTGTGGATGTAGCAACAAGTTGTTTTCATAGACAATGGTTTTCAGAAGTGTTTCTGAGCCCATGCAGTGATTTCCACTACAGAATCATGTCTGTTTTTAATGAAGTGCCACCTGAGGGCCCAAAGATCACGGCCAGCAAATATTGGTTTTCAGCCTTGTGTCTTGTATACAGAAATTTCTCCAGATTCTCTGAATCTTTTAATGTTATTATGTACAATAGATGATGAAAAACAAAAGTTCTTTGCCGTTTTATGTTGGAAAAGGTTATTCTTGAATTATTGCACCATTTGCTGGCACAGTCTTTCACAGAGTGGTGAACACCTCCTCATCTTTACTTCTGAAAGACGAAAGTGTTGTTGTTATCAAATTCAAAATGGGCAAATATTTTTGAAGAAACATTAAAATTTTTCAGTTTTGACATTTGATTTGTTGTCTTTGTACTATTTTCAATGAAATACAGGGTTTAAATGATCTGCACATCACTGCATTTTGTTTTTATTTACATTTTGCACAGCGTCCCAACTTTTTTGGAAATAGGGTTGTAGGTTGTCCTGTCCAAACAGCTTTAACCCCTTAAAAATCACAGGCTTATTACACACCAAGGCTTATTATTCAGTAATTACAGGGTCTTCATTGCAAACTGGCTGAGCTATTTTTAGGTTATAGACGTGTGGAAAAACACTGGGCCTGCTGGTGGGGAAACAAACCAATAGCAAGTAAACAAGAAAAATTTCACATTTTTCACAATAAACTGATGGTAATTTTCCTCTGGAGGATCATTATTCTTTTTTGCACTGGGGCTCATAACACCACAGTCATTCATTAGTCTAGGTTTAGGATTAATCTTTGTTTTGGAAACTCTCCCCTCTTGTGTTATTATCACCTCGTACTCTTTCCTTCAGTCAGACCTAGAATGTAAATCTTACCATCCACTGAGCTGAGGGAGTCTTTAGGAGCAGGACGGTTAGCTCCAGGCCTGAACAGCAGTTTGTCTATTCTGGGCGGGGGTGGCTGTCGGGAAGCTCCGGGAAGTTTTCCTCCTTCAGGAGACGGCGTGCGCTGAAGACTGAAGTACTGAAACTTTCCCTGAGATGGACTCGTAAGCTCTGGCTTCGACCCAGACCGGAACTGCTGCAGCTCCGAGAGGTGACCGGTCTGGTCTGACTCTAGTCTGGACAGAAGGGCTGCTCGATATAGACAAAAATGTTATATCACAATTATATTGCTAAATAGTGGCACTATGGCTTAAAGAGGCACTTTGGCCAGAATGAAACATCTCACTATTACTACCTCTATCATAAATAAGCCTAGTATCCTCCTATAGTGATGCCACAGTAGTCTTTAGAGTGAGATTTTCCAGTTTAAAGAATAGGAAAGCCCCTTCTAATGATCTTGAAGGTGTATTGCATGCTGGGTATTGTAGTGAGAGAACACTGATGAAAGAAAACAAAATTGTGATTGTGCTGAGGGATGTAATGTTGCATTACAAAATATAACACAACATGGCAAACAATGTTAAATGCTAGCTTTAGAGGCCAGAATGCCCCTTTCAGTAAAAGCAAGACTATTACTACTGAAAGTTTTAAATAAGTTAAATAATTAAATTATTTAGTTCTTAATAACCCTAATAAACTTCACTTCTCATATCACTTTACTAGAGTTTAAGTTGATCTCACTAAAGAATGATTAGCGAGTAAGTAATTAGCTAAGTAGCTACTGAAGACTGATTAATAATAATTGTTATTACATTAATACTAAGGCTAGTTGTTAATGTTAGCTTACTTTACATCCCTGTTGCTCCATATTGTGCAATCTGCCTTGCAATTCATGGTTAAATGTTGAAAAAGATATGACAACACAGGTAAACACTTTTCAACCAGTCAGATGTTGTGGTTGTAACCAAAAATCAATGTATTGTGCAGCCGTACCGGAAAGTGATGCCGGGCCAGGTGGGGGCTGTTTGGAGTTTGGCCGAGTTTGCAGAAGAGAGACGGAGGACAGAGGAGGCGGCTTTTGTTTAGGCTCCACGTAGTAATCCATGATTTTTGCCTTTCCATTACCTTTATACTGGAGAAAAAAAACAATGTTAAACATGTTTTAAACAGTACTTCCACTAACTGTCCACTTTATTAGAAACACCTACCTTGTACTTCCACTAACTGGCCACTTTATTAGAAACACCTACATTGTGCTTCCACTAACTGGCCACTTTATTAGAAACACCTACCTTGCGCTTCCACTAACTGTCCACTTTATTAGAAACACGTACCTTGTACCTCCACTCACTGGCCACTTTATTAGAAACACCTACCTTGTACTTCCACTAACTGGCCACTTTATTAGAAACACCTACCTTGCGCTTCCACTAACTGTCCACTTTATTAGAAACACGTACCTTGCACTTCCACTAACTGGCCACTTTATTAGAAACACCCACCTTTTACTTCCACTCACTGGCCACTTTATTAGAAACACCTACCTTGTACTTCCACTAACTGGCCACTTTATTAGAAACATCTACCTTGTACTTCCACTAACTGGCCACTTTATTAGAAACACCTACCTTGCGCTTCCACTCACTGGCCACTTTATTAGAAACACCTACCTTGTGCTTCCACTCACTGGCCACTTTATTAGAAACACCAACCTTGTGCTTTCACTAACTGGCCACTTTATTAGAAACACCAACGTTGTGCTTCCACTCACTGGCCACTTTATTAGAAACACCAACCTTGTGCTTTCACTAACTGGCCACTTTATTAGAAACACCTACCTTGCGCTTCCACTCACTGGCCACTTTATTAGAAACACCTACCTTGCGTTTCCACTCACTGGCCACTTTATTAGAAACACCAACCTTGTGCTTTCACTAACTGGCCACTTTATTAGAAACACCTACCTTGTGCTTCCACTCACTGGCCACTTTATTAGAAACACCAACGTTGTGCTTCCACTAACTGTCCACTTTATTAGAAACATCTACCTTGTACTTCCACTAACTGGCCACTTTATTAGAAACATCTACCTTGTACTTCCACTAACTGGCCACTTTATTAGAAACACGTACCTTGCGCTTCCACTAACTGTCCACTTTATTAGAAACACCTACCTTGTACTTCCACTAACTGGCCACTTTATTAGAAACACTTACCTTGCGCTTCCACTAACTGCCACTTTATTAGAAACACGTACCTTGCGCTTCCACTAACTGTCCACTTTATTAGAAACACCTACCTTGTACTTCCACTAACTGGCCACTTTATTAGAAACACTTACCTTGCGCTTCCACTAACTGCACACTTTATTAGAAACACGTACCATGTACTTCCACTAACTGGCCACTTTATTCGAAACACCTACCTTGCGCTTCCACTAACTGTCCACTTTATTAGAAACACGTACCTTGCACTTCCACTCACTGGCCACTTTATTAGAAACACCAACCTTGTGCTTCCACTAACTGGCCACTTTATTAGAAACATCTCCCTTGTACTTTCACTATATGGTTACAGACTGTGGCTCATCTACATAAATGTCAGTCCTCCTCTACTCCATTCATCATTACTCAGTTTCTTTTTATATCGTTATATCATTTATACCATGTCGGTGGTCGATGATGACACTGAAAAGGTAGTGAGCACCCAAAAATATTCAGACAGCAGGAAGTTAGCATTACTGCTACTGAGTGCTGATTGTTTGGCGAGTGGTGCAGCTCACTGGCTGTTCGCACTCACAGACTTCATGGATGAACACGAGGCACCGTTTTAAACTCCTATATCTCGAGTTTAAAAGCTCTTAAAAATATAACAGCAGTGTTAAAATGTTTTATGCTGTTCTGTGTTCAGGAAATGAATGTATTCTTTTACATTAAAATGTTTGAGCATTTCTAAACTATGATTTTGCTCAAATACTCCATATCAACCCATTCATTTTGGACTCGCTCGGGAGCGCCCTCTAGCGTTTGAGAAGCCCGGAAGACATTGCAGAGTGATAATGCTCTTCTCTACAAGTTCTCTGTTATATCCACCTATACAGCCTACAGCAGTTTAGCTCTGCCCATCACACTGAAATTATTATTCTGCTTTTTCAAAGAGGCACAATACAGGGCAGCCAATCAGAACAGATCTCATTTGCATATATCACTTTTAAAGACACAGTAACGAAACAACCTGTTTAATTCTAAAAGAGAAGCTGGAAAATATTAATGTAAAAATGAATTATGATTGTTTTTGGAACAGAAACCCATAGAAAAGGTGAGTTCTGGGGGAAGAAAATAAAATACTGGAAAAATAGAGGATATGGACCCTTTAAAAACACTTTTTTAAATGTTTAGGTGATGTCATCATACAATGATGCAGGTGTTCAATAATAAATTTATGAGAATATGAAGGTAAAAATTTTGTCTACTGTTGAATATGCGACACTCGTAAGCGCACTCCAGCTGAAGTGATGAATCCCTGAAGACCGTCACAGTTTTACACAAAAGCTTTTTGAACAGAAGCGCGTCCTCAGGTTCTCTACACGCTCGGACTGAGAGGCTGAGTGAACCGCTGATATAAAGTGCTTCTCTACAGTCCTGCACAATACGTGGCTTTTTCAGACACTGGAACAGCGGGGTGGATATCCCACACACACACACACACACACACTGCCCCGTACACACACATCGCCTCCTAAAGCACCATGGGGTTCTGCTGTTCATTAGTGCTGTGAACTTTTCAACTCCGCCAGTCTTTGCGCTCTCAGACAGCTGTTTTCAGCCTTTTGTGTATCTGCTGTAGTTTTACACTGATCAGGCATAACATTATGACCTTGTTTCTACACTCATTGTCCATTTTATCAGTTCCACTGACGTGGTGGTGGTGTGTTAGTGTGTGTTGTGCTGGTACGAGTGGATCAGACACAGCAGTGCTGATGGAGTTTTTAAACACTGTGTCCACTCACTGTCCACTCTATTAGACACTCCTACCTTGTCAGTCCACCTTGTAGATGTAAAGTCGGAGACGATAGCTCATCTGCTGCTGCACAGTTTGTGTTGGTCATCCTCTAGTCCTTCATCAGTGGTCACAGGACGCTGCCCACAGGACACTGTTGGCTGGTTATTTTTGGTTGGTGGACTATTCTCAGTCCAGCAGTGACACTGAGGTGTTTAAAAACTCCAGCAGCACTGCTGTGTCTGATCCACTCAGACCAGCGCAACACACTAACACACCACCACCACGTCAGTGTTACTGCAGTGCTGAGAATGATCCACCACCCAAATAGTACCCGCTCTGTGAGGGTCCATGGGGGTCCTGACCACTGAAGAACAGGGTAAAAGGGGGCTAACAAAGTATCAGAGAAACAGATGGACTACAGTCTGTAACTGTAGAACTACAAAGTGCACCTATATAGTAAGTGGAGCTGATAAAATGGACAATGAGCGTAGAAACAAGGAGGTGGTCAGAATGTTATGCCTGATCGGTGTAAAAGAACAAATGTGAGTCAACATTTTGAACATTTTCATCACACTTTTCTCTATCTAGTACATCTCGATGCATATTAATGCCATCATGCTAGCATTCTGTCATGTGCAAACGTCTGGGCACCCCTGGTCAAACAACATGTTGTTGATTTTCTGATCTGATCTGTTCTGATAAGTGAACACATCCTCTACAGAGAACACACTTCTGCTCATATTAATACACAATTATGTTTACTGAATTTAGCATATTGGGAAAACGAGTCAAGTCGAAGTTTATTTATATTGCCCTTTTTTACAACAAGCAGCTTTACAGAAAATCCGGGTCCAAGCCGCCATGAATGTCGCCAACGGCAAGAAAAACTCCCTAAGAGCAAGAGGAAGAGACCTTGAGAGGAACCAAGACTCAAAAGGGGAACCCATCCTCCTCTGGTCGAGAGATAGCAAACAATAACACAAGAGGAACAGAGAATGAGGCCTTAATATTAGTGTAAAATATTAAAATAGAGAAAAGGGGAAAAGCAGGAGAAGCAGTGGCTCTGATTAAATGGGTCACGTCTGTGCAGGAGCAGCATCATCGGGAGGGTCAGTTCATGCAGGCGTGCTGACCTTCCTGAACAGTTCATGCATGCAAACATGGCCTGTGCAAAAGTTATGGAATATTTTATATTTTATTTTTTCCAATATATAAAACACAGCAAATTAATCTCATTTTTAAAACTCATTAGACTGCAACGTTTGCACATGACTTTACACAAGCGCTCAAAGTTAAAATCTAGATCTATTTCAATTTCTATCCATCCATCCATCCATCCATCCATCTTTGATCTCCACCACTCTAATATCATGAATTCTGGATATTAATTTTATTATCAAATAATTCTATATAGTTCTATATTGTCCTACCAGCTGTTTGAAACCTGTGAAGTTGCACAAACAGAGTGCATTAGAATCATTTTCTACATTTGCCTGCAACCAGACTGGTTTTATATTATTAAAAATGCTGATTGCAAACTTTTGAACAGTAGTGCAGCTAACAGTGAATCACACTAAATGGCCACGTTTTTTTTATTATTTATGAGCAGAAATGTTAACATTTTTTAGTAACACATTCCTCACTGAAAATCCACATATTATGCATATTGAGGTCTAACTTCTAGTTCTGTATTACATATATTAAAAAATACATCAATTTATGTCCAAAAGTATGAATTCAGCTAATTTAAAAGGTCCATATCTTATTTATTCCTGACCTATTTATGACATTTATGGGGATTTATGTACCAAAAAAAATCATATTATCATTTTCCAACCTCTCTTTATCCCTTTTCATCAAACAGGCTGTTTCTGATGTATGTAAATGAGCTCTGTTCTGATTGGCTGCCTTATCGAGCCTCATTCAAAAAGCAGTCTGGGCTGAAACACTCCTTATAACCTCAGTGTGAGTCGGCAGGGCTAAACCGCGGTGGCTGAACAGGCGGATATATGCAAATGCGTGGTCATGACATCACAATAACAATTCATTCAAAACCTTTAAAATGTTTACATCAAACAGTTGCATTTCTATGATATGGGCCCTTCAATGTGCATCTACTCCTGACCCAGGTCTCCAGTTGCACAAACACAGCTTGTATAATCTCAATAGTAAAGCACTGACCAATATAAAGGGACCCTCTGGAGCAGCTGCACATGGGCCCAAGGTCTCCATGTCCAATGCTGAGCATGATCTAGAGGGGTATAAAGCCCCCCCAGCATTGGGCTGTGGAGCAGTGGAACTGTGTTCTCTGGAGTGATGGAGCTCCATCCAGTACCTTTGGGCTGAGTTGAAGTGATCTAGAATTGACCATCCAACATCAGCACCTTACCTCACTAATGCTCAATCAAATCCTCACAGCAATGTTCCAACATCTAGAGTAAAGCCTTCCCAGAAGAGCAGATTATTATCCCTATTAACACCCTTTGTTTCAGAGGAATTCCTGGAGGATCAGGGGTCAAACCTTCTGGACATTGAGACCACATCGCTCCATGCTAAACGTCTGTAGTGCATTGAGTTTGTGCTAAAGAGACGACTGACTCCTCACCTTTCCCCGAAGGCTCTGTTTGGAGGAAGTGACATCAGCAGGCAGAAAGCCCAGCTCTTGCAGGTAACTCTCCAGCGTCCTGCCCAGCAGAGCTTCATCCCCCTTCAGCTTCCTGTTCTCACCGTCAGCAGCCTGAGCCCTGTTTAAAACAGCCTTACATGTCAACAAATGTACAGAGCAGACAGGAACAGCTGAGCTCAACTTTAAAGTGACAGCATTACACTGAATGATGCTAACCTGGGTAAAGAATAGATATTATTTATTATCCAACAATACCTTACACTATACTGAATGATGCTATCATTGCTAAGATAATTCACACTCCATAAAATTGGAAGTATTGCTCTAAACCTTGAATGGGAAGCATTATATCAAATGATGCTAAAATCAGTATGACCTATTGTGGCCTGTGCCCGACCCCTGGGCCCCGGCGATGGCTGCGAGAGCCTGCCAGAAAGCGGGGCCTAAACATTGAGTGGTGACGAACCCCGGCGAGGACGGCGGAGAGAGAGCCGCAAGTGGGTGGGGGACGGAGCGCAAAGCCCAAGCTCCGCCGAGGGACGTGAGTGACGGCGGGAGGAGGAGGACGACAGTGCCGGCCACGAGAGGCACGAGGGCAAGGAGCGAGTCCCGAGCTCCGCCGCCCGGGCCCTGCCTCCGGTTCCGCAGCGAGGCCGCTTCACTGCACCTCACGTTCGACCCGGGTGGCCGAGCTGCGAGTTTGGGGCAGTGACGAGGAGGCAGAGCAGCGAGCTCTCGCTCCCTCTCAGCTCGGGTGCTAAGAGCTCTCTTAATGAGAGCCAGCTGAGGCTGATCTGGCTGGCAGCGTGAGCGCCTTTTAAAAAGAGGTGAGAGGGAACAGAGCGACAGAGGGACGAGCAGCAGCTGCAGCAGCGGAGGACTGAAGAGCTGAAAAGCTTAGTGAAGAGAAGGACTGAAGTGGGACTGAAAAGTCTGGCTGAAGCCACTGAAGAGTGGCTAGCGTAGGTTTTGTTTTCTTTGGTTCTGTTTGCTTTGTTTATATTGTGTGAATTCAAACATGGCTGCTGCAACACTGAATCTTGCCTCCCGCGTCCTCCTTGAGCCCGGGGTAGCACATGCCCTGCTACACCTATTGTTCCACATAACTTATTATCTGTCATGCACTGTAGCTTCAAGGGTTAGCATTGTGCCAAACAATGCTAACATGGTTGATTATGCATTGTCATGTTATATATTATCCTGAAATATGATCAAACCTGATTTTGTTAAATCTTAAATGGAGAGCATTATACTAAATGATGCTAACGTGGCTAACAGTATTAAGAATTCTTTCATATTATATATATTATATTGAAATACATAGGAAATTAAAATCTCGCTAGCATTATACCAGAGGATGCTAACATCACTGCTAACAGCATTACATATTTTTCCTATTTCATATTTTACATTATCTCAAAATAGGCAAGAAACTGAAGCATTGTATGAAAACCTAAAGGGCTAGTATTATACCACACAATGCTAACATGGCTAACAATATTAAAGACATTTTATGATGATATATCTACAAAATTTAAATCTTGCTCAACATTAAATGACTAACACCATACTAAACAATGCTAAAACAGCTAACAGTACTAATGTTCCATTTTACATATTATCTTGAAAGGGCTAGTATTATACTAAACAATGCTAGCACTGCTAACAGTTTTATTATTATTATTATTATTATTATTATTATTATTATTATTATTATTATCTTGAAATATGTAAGGAATCGTGCTAAACCATAAATGGCTACCATTATACTAAATAATGCTAACATGGCTAACAGTATAATGAATTCTTCCATATTAAGTATTATATTGAAATGCATATGACATTGAAATCTTGCTAGCATTACACCAAAGGATGCTAACATCATTGCTAACAGCATTATAGTTTATATTCCATATTATCTTAAAATATACAAGAAATATGAAATATTAGCATTGTGTGGTGGCAGAATGCTAATATGGCTAACAACATAAAAGATTATTACGTTTTATTTTGATATGTGTATGAAACTGAAATCTTGTTAAACGTTAAATAACTAACACCATACTAAACAATGCTAACACTGCTAACAGTAATGGTTCATATTACATGTTATCTTGAAAGGGCCAGTATTATACTAAACAATGCTAGCACTGCTAACAATATTATTATTATTATTGTTATTATTATTATTATTATTATTATTATTAGTAGTAGTAGTAGTAGTAGTAGTAGTAGTATCTTGAAATACATAAGGAGTTGAAGAATTGTGCTAAACTATAAAGGGCTAGCATTACACAAATGATGCTAACATGGCTAACAATCTTTTGTACTGTTACTTATTACTTTAAAATAGTTACAAAACTGAAATCTTGCCAAACCCCAAAAGGTTAGCATTGCACCAAACAATGCATTACATTGCATTAGTGTTCCATATTTTCATTAAATATGTAAGATGTAAGAACATGTATGATGCACTGCGCACCAAACGATACGGCTAAGAGTGAATAAAATGTAGTACCGACTCTGCGATGCTAAAATATTATCACTGTTCGGTCAAACTTCCCCCTTAAACTTAAAGGAGCTTTTTTTTTTTTGCACCGTCCAAACAATCAACAAACTCACCTGGAGCTGAAAGCTGGGAAGGTGTTGCCGAGGCGCCGTAGAGGAATCTTAGGCAGCGCTAACAGCTCTCTAGAGATGACCTGCTGGGTGGTGTCATCCTGCCAGGTGTAACCTGCCGTCAAACAGACGGAGAGAAGAAGGTGAACAAACAGAGCACGAACTGAAAAGCAGAGAAAAGGAACCTCATTAGGAGGAACATCTGAACATCAGTGGAGGAACAGAGCCAGAGAGCCAGAGAGTCAGAGAGTCCAGCAGGTATGCAGGATACAGCCAAGGCTTTTGTACACATGTATTCAGGCTGCCTTTCAGTGGACCGTTACCTTAATAATCTACAGCTGCAATGCTAACGATTCCTATTCACTACGTTCAGGTCGAATCTCTCTCATACCTGTATAACGAACACTGAAATCTGGGTGGGCACACCTGAACAAGACGCTTTTCGCACCAAATATATTTATAAACATAACATTTGAACATTTATAAATATAATAACCGGACACGCTTTTGGGCAAACTCAACTTACTGAATTGGACACTTTTTTTTCCAAAACAACTGATCTAACTGATCACCATGTGGCCATGAGGGACAGGGATGCAGCCTCACTTCCAGCTCTAAAATACAGAGGCGTGGCTAAAATAAGTCTCCGCCCACAGACTAAAACTCTGTGTTTCGTAGTGACATGAAAACTTGGGACAGCATTTCTTTTATTTAAAAATTAAACATATGATTAATTTGAAACGTTTAACTTTATTCTGAAAATCAAATCAAAATGATCTTAAAAAAAAAAACACTGAAAAAAAAACAAAAAAGTAACAAGTGTAAATTTAGGGGTTTTGGTTTGGGACAGACCCCTCCCAATAAAAAGGGTGATTTTGGGATGATTTTGTATATATTTAGCTTTTCATGATCTGTTTTAATGCCTCGTGTTTAAATAGACCAGAACATAATCATACTGAATTGTTTGATTACTTTTTTTTTTAACTATTTGGACTAATTTGGTAGAATAGTCGGTAACACTTTCTATGAATGTCACCTTTGTAAGCATCTATAAACACATTTATAACATGCTATAATGTATTCATCAGGCATTATAAACATGGTTATAAATATTTACAAAAAAAGAATTACACTGAATTACACTTTACCATGTTTATTATATATTATGAATTGTTAATATAATGCATTATAAGTAGTGTTGATAACATGTTATACTGTCAGTGCCAAAAAAGTCGGTCCCAGCTTGAAGGGCATAAAGTAAAGACAAATACCAAGCTAACGGTGGTGTACATTGACTTTCCCACACTGGGTAAAACACTGATGGCAGCTCTAGTTTAAACTCTGACATTTGAAGCCTGTAATGTGCTTTACTGTGAATGTTTTAGTGTTTCAGTAAATCCTTCAGTAAATACTTCAACTTGAAGCCTCACTCTTAACACTGGAGGAGGCTTTAGTACAGTACGCTTCACTTTACTTAGAGCAGATAAATACAACTTATGAGCTCTTATAATTTGTTATGATCAGTACTTATAATGTATTATGTTAACAATTCATAATGCATAATAAACATGGCTATAACATATAATGCATTTTTATAAATATTTATAGCTATGTTTATAATGCCTTATGAATGCATTATAACATGTTATGGATGTGTTTATAGATGCTTGCAAAGGTGACATTCATAGAAAGTGTTACTGAATAGTCCATATACTATATTAAAACCAGCATGAAGCAGTAGAATAATAAAATAATCCCAGGTCTGTTATAAGATTACACTCAATCTAATAACAGAAAATAACAGTACAACTATTAGAAAAGTACAGTAGTACACGAATAGTAATAGTACAACTGGAGGATATGATGCCATGCATTAGTGGTTTATTCAAAGCAATTTTATTGTCGAATTTTAAGCCCCTGGTAGGTAATTACTGCACTGTATCACTGTATGTTGAAAATATCTTTCCTTTAACTCACCCTGAACATAAAGAATGTTTTTGCCCTCTCCTGTAAAGTTAGTATTTTTGGAGATACTTTGGAGATACTTGTTTTTCTTTGGACAGTGTTGACACACACACACACACACACACACACACACACACACACACACACACCCACATATAAATATATGTGTGTGTGTGTGTGTGTGTGTGTGAGTGTATGTGTGTATATATTATCGTCACTGTCCAATGAAAAAAGTATCTCCATTTTTTGTGATTTTTACTTTTCTGCATTGTTTGAGCTCAGCAGTTCTCCTTTGTGTGAAAATTCATGATGATTGGACCAATAGAAATGCTTCAAAATTGCTTAGAATAAAACCTCTTTCTATTACAGCTAATTATTACTAGCTAATGCTATCTAATAGTTGTTAGCCAACCTAGCACAACCTATTCCAATATAAAATAAAGCAGGATATTCATGCGAGCTTCAACTTTTATTATTATTATTATTTTTGTTAGATGTCATGATGTAGCTGACTTTGATGTAGAAACTTTGTGAATATGCTTTTCTTCTGTAAATATCTGTTTAACACTGCTACAGTAATGCTAAGTTCTGCTAACTGTGGGAATCTATCTCTATGGGACTTGCAGTGCCTTGTAAGATACACAAGTAATATTTGTTTTACTTTGTATATGGTGGTATGGTGAATTATGTAAAAAGTACTTCAACTTAAAGCCAGATTGTGAGTACAGTTACAGGAGCCTGTTAGCTTTAAAAAAAAATAAACAGCTGTTTATATTTCTGAAAATTAAAAATTGAACCATTGATGCTTCTGTTGGGATTTTTGACTCTTTAAATTGTATTTAAAATGTAATTTAAGTACAAAAACTCCTTTTTTCTAATATGTGTGCATACATATAATATTCAGAGAAGAATATTATTCATTGATGATTCATGGCTAATTACAGTAACATACTGCTGTCAGCATGTAGTCTTATAAAAATACAGTAAAGTATATCTTTACCGCAAACTAGCATTACGGTATGAGTGCTGCAAATATTAATTACAGTAGTTTACTACAACAGAAACTCTGTAAATGTATAGTAAACTACTGTAATTAATATTTAAAATTTACAGTGTGACTGTAAATTTATAGACTTTTTTCAATTTACAGTTGTACTTTACTAATATAAGGAAGTACAAAATACAAAAAGGACACAGATTTGTTGAAGGTAAATGCATGTTTTCGCTCCTCGTCAGTGCCCGTAGTGCAGTGGTTAAAAATGTATTTGTCCATCCGCCTCCGATTTCCCACCACGCTCAAACCCACACCTGCCTCCTGGCAGTGCTGCTCAGCATCTCCGCCTCATGTAATGATTCAGTCGGTCAGCTGGAACTACCACAGAGACAACAGCAGGACGAGGCCTGCCAGAGCGCTGCTGAAACGCCAAAACAATTCCAAAAACGTTCAGGCAGGCAGCTTTTTACTGCTTCTCAGCCGGGCTCCGTCTTGGCTGCCCTCAAAAACAAAATTCCAAAACATCTAGAAATCCAGTTCAGAGTTTATAGATGGAAATATGTGTCCTCGTATGTCTTCCATCTCTCGCCGGTCAGGAGGCATTCTCCAGAGGGTTCTTTGTGCCGTTATGTCCGGCTGCTCGTGTTTGAGATGGTTCTCGGTGTTCGGATGGCTCTCAGAGGCCAGAAGCTGCTGATTAGGATTGCTGTTAAGGAGGGATCGGTGCATAGCAACGGCGCTCGACAGCATCTCCAAAAGCCAGCAGAGACGTGCCCTCATTAGCCCTCTATCAGCATGACACATCCGCCGCTGCTAATCCGTTTACATGGCAACCTGGGGAAGGGCTTTGCAGGCGGTGTCACTTTTATCAGCAGCGCATCCGCAGAGGCCAAAACGAGGAAACACTTGAACCCATGAGGCCTCGGTTCTGGAAGAATGGTGGAGTCACAGTGTGTGTGTAATGACGGCAGGGACGTTTGGGGTCATGATGACAGAGAGGATTTTACATTTACTGGCCCATTTATTAACCCTCTGGGGTCCACGAACTCGCCCACGCGTCAAATCCAATGTCTCTATGTATATTTCTCTGTCCTTGTGATAACATAGCGCAGAAATGCTGTTCAATCATTTCCTGAATCTGTAGAGTCGCCCTTTCCATTCCATCTTATCTCGAGATCATACGAGACTCACATCCGGAGTTATGAGCCTATGAAGAGGGGCTGAGATACACGTCATCTGCCTCTCACCGTGTGGAACTGGTGGATTTGTGTGTCCGTCTACATTCTGTGTGAAACTGACCAATGGACCTTCAGGAAATCACTAAGTACTGACCATCACGCCGGAAACCCTTCATTCTTCATTCAGTCCACATCGGAGACAGATGTGAAATGGCGTGCAGAGAGTTTACAGCTGCTGAAGCTGCTGCAGCAGTTTTGGAAAGTAGTGATGAAAATGTAGCATTGTGATATGAAACATATGAGCATCATGTTATATGCAAAAGCCTCAAAGATGAATTTAAGAAGATATGCATAAATCAAGTCTAGGAGCTGTCGAACAGCAGAATTCCTTAGCAAAGTCAGTTAACTTATGCATGGATTATTGACCAGGCCACTGGGGCCACTGCCTGAGGCCTCTGGCAGCCGGGGCCTTGGTAGGCTTCAGATCACAAGACCCAAGGGGGCTCAAATAGTGGGGACGATCCACTTCAGATATAAGCATTAGATGAACGAATAGCCATTATATATGTACAAATGACTAAATAAATAAAATAAAACGAGAACCGTTATCTGTGCTCAGGCCTGTCGGGTTTTACATTATCATTGTTTTTGCTGCTGTCATTCAAATGGGATGTTTCACCCTTTGATGTGTGTAGGGGCACGTTAAAAAAAAAATAAAAAGGCAAATTTCGTCTACTCTCAAAACAAAGCAGATGGACATTTGAGTAGAGTGAGTTATGGTTTAATCTCACTTTTCAGGTATTTATTTATTTAGTGTTACTGTTGAAGTCCAGGGGGCCTCCAAAGATGCTGGTGTCCAGGGGTCACCAACATACATGAATATGAACAATCGTGGCTTCTGTAAGCAGCCCTGTGTTGTGGCTTATTTAATCACATGCATTTATGTTGCTGACTTCACATGATGGCAGCCGAAAGGCT